CGATGAATTTTATACATTAGTCACGTGGGATGCATTTATGGAGGGAGTTATCATATGAGTGGGACTAAAAAAATACCATGCAGTGCAGAGTATGGAGGGTGTGCATTTATGGAGGGTGCATTTATGGAGGTCTGACTGTACTTGCGACATACAAAAGTACGAGTCATGTTAAAGATGCACTTAATATTGCTGAATGCATATATGGAATTGGCAAACCTCAATCAACACCATCTTTAAATTTACCGATTGAAAGCGGTCCTTTAAACACTGTTCTTGATATGTGCATAAATGGAAAACAATTTCTTTTGGGATTAAAATACTACAACCAAGCCATCAAAAAATATCCAGACATGGAGCATGACATTAATCTTTACAATAGTTTGATGACTCTTTATAATTCGACATTTCAATTTGATAAAACTGTAGAAGTGTTTAATGATAAAATAAAAGATACAGGTTTAAAACCAAATAAATTAACATTTGAAGTAATGATGCTTGCATGTCATAATCTCTGTGATCTAGATAGTCTGAAATATTTCTTTGATAATTACTTGGAAAGAGGAATTGATCTGGGAGAACTGGATCTGATGGGATTAATTAAATTGTCTCTTAAGAGAGCCAGAATTGATGGAGGTCCTAATGATGCTGTTTGGTTGCTGGATAAATTAGATGAAATGGATCCTTCCAAAGAAGAAAATAAAAAACTTCCTCAGATTAAAATCATCGATCATCTGTCATACTTAAGTACCATTTCTATGGCTTATGAGATTGCATTAGAGGTGGAGGATTTGCCAGAAGATAAAAAGGCTTGATGGCAAGAAGACAGGGAGTTTTTTGAAGAAAAATTTGCAAAAAATTCTGATGAAATTGAAAAATTAACCCAAGAACATATAATAAATCATAGTAAATCTCCTAAAGGACCTTGCAAAAGGACTAAAAAAATAAATCAACCGTCTGTGTCGCCAGCACCTCCAGCATCACCATCATCATCATCACCATCGTCATTGTTATCACAAAGACAACCTAATATGGGACATAATGAGCAGTCTGATTATATTCCATCAAATATGAATTATGATCCACGAGCACATAATAATGGAAGATATAGACCCTTTGCTTCAAATTCATTTCAACCTCCTCCACAACAATATTATAGACAGTCATATAACAATTATTATTACACACCATCTTATAATGATAGAGAACATAATAGATCTTTTGCTTCGCCGTCACCTTCAATTCCACCTTATTATCAACCACAACAACAATATTATGATAGAAATGGTAGATATTATGGACAACCAGACATCAACTATAACTTTTCTGCATATAGTGGTGGAAGATATAGACCATCATATAAACCGCGTTACAACAATAATAAAAGACCTGGGAGTTATTAAAAACTATCTTGTGTCAATCATAACCCATAGCCAAATAAATAATCTCAGTATAATATGATGATCATCTTCATCGAAATAATGTATGAGCGTTATCACGAACTAAATAAATTTTTTTTATGCAAGTTATTTACGTCCCACTGCTCGATATATCTAAACATGTGACTCAATTAATACGCGGAAAATTTTCCTTGACAATTGAAAGTAATTTCTTAATTTGAAGAATATCTTTTCTACATTTGGAAAAATATTGCAATTATTACGTTTGCAAATAAATTTTTTTTAAATTCTGACTCGGTATAAATAATATTAGTATATAGTAATTTGGTTTTTTAGAAGTGATGTCATTGATCGATCATCAGGTACAGTAGTTAAAAAGGACGCAGACATCAAATTATTTCTTTATCTTTACAATTCAATTTGGAGTTTGTTAATTAAAAAGTTTTCTAAAATTTTATTTAATAACAAATTAACAAAGATTTAATTATCATTATTAGCAATAATAATAAATGAGAACAACAGAAATTAAAACCCTTTTTTTTAGCGACAAAAAAGACTTTAAATTTGATTTCGAAGATTTTGTTAAAAATGAATTGGGAATTGGGATCCAAAAACCTTGTAAGGCATTTTACTTTTATCTTTTTACTTATATATATATCAATTTTTAGAAAAAAGAAAATTTTATTATTATTCTTTTTTTTAAAAAAAATGCATATAGTTCCCCAAAGAGAAATTTGTCAAGATTATGTACGTGGTGTATGTCATCGCGGAACATCATGCCGTTATGAACATATTATAAAGAAATTTATAGTTTGCAAACATTGGTTACGTGGTTTATGTATGAAAGGTGATGAACAATGCGAATATTTACACGAATATAAATTATCAAGAATGCCAAAGTGTATTTATTTTAATTTGTTTGGAGTTTGTCAAAATGCAAATTGCATTTATTCTCATATTGAGAAAGGTCATGAAATTTGCGGTGATTATGAATGTGGATTTTGCAAACACGGTAATAGCAAAGCTACTTACTCACCAACTCATATACATGCATTTTTATTAAAAAATTTTCTTCTTTTTTTTTGAACAACGATTTTTTTCTTTCCTCCAAAAAGGTCCCGATTGCCTTAAAAAACATGTAAAAAAAGTCTTATGTGAATCTTACTTGATGGGATTTTGTCTAAAAGGACCAAAATGTTCTGATGGACAGTAAGTAAATAATAATAACAAATTTATTGTTTTTCTTTTAATATTAATTTAAAAATTTCAAAAAATTTTAGTCCGAAAATTGATTTACGAAAATTAAAAAATCTGTTAACTGATACAAAGGTACTTTTTTTTATTCCTAACTAACACTTTTAAAAATCAAAGAATTGATAAACTCTTGATTATATAATTTAGATCGGGAAAAGACAACAAAATTGTTTATATCAGTATCAACAACAACAAAATTCGTATCAACGACGTAAATTTTTTCCATATATAAAAAATCACGATGCTACTTGTTTTAAAGTACGTATCGGTTAAAAAAAAATGATTTCAAAAAAATTTTTTTTTGATATATAATAAAATAGAATATTTTCTTTAAAAAAATTAAAAAACAGTGTGGACTAGTGGGACATGCTACGCGACGTTGTCGTAAAAAATAATGTAACGGATAGAGAACATCTATCGATAATAATAATCATGATATTTTTTAGCTTATTATATTAAGTAACAATAATAATTAACTATAAAAAAGATTTTAAATAATTAAAGAAGGCTTTCTGCATTATATTTTTTTGTATTTATTGGTATTTAATACAAACTTGGAATCATTAATGATAAACCAAAACGGAAAGGGTCAATCATTTGCGAGAGGTACGTACCAATAACAGGAAACTCACCGAGTAATCTATGAAACCTTTTAACTTTTTTTTACTAACAAAAACAAAAAAACCTCTCTGTTACAATTACTGCTTAAGACTTGGAGAATAAAACTATGAAGAGTGGTGAAGTTAAGTTGTTTATTAATTGTTAGTTACAATCAAAAACACCTCCATATTCATTACCAAAATAAAATTATTATTTATATATCAAAGTTTTTATGTAACAATAATATGTTACATCTTCTTTTATGAGTCTTCTTTTATGAGTGATTACTTTATTAACATCAACATCTGTATCCATTAAAAACATTACAAATTTAGTATATAGAATAATTTTAAAAAAATTAGTAAATGCATTCGTTCATCAAGTCGTGAATCTAGTGGTAGTGACGAAATAGATGATGTAAATCGCATTTTCTTCTTCTTCAGATGATGATTTATTTATTATTCATTCAGGTTTCTTAACTGACTCTTTATCATCTCTAAGCATTCATTTGTAAAAATCTATTGTTGTTGTTGTTATTATTATTATTAATGTTAGGTATTTTATCTTTTATTTCGATGTTTTTTTTTTAATTTATCGTGAATTTGTGTAAAAATTCTATTACTATTACATTTACAAAATTAGTTGTATAACAAAAAATATCATGTGAACACTTTACTTCATCCCTAAAAATTTTTCCCAAAGAGTGCTATATTGTCCACCACCACTACCACTTTCTAACCGTCTATAATCCGGTTCTTCTTTACTTTTACCGCTCCTATTAAACAACGAATAAATACATGAATAAAGAAATGCTATACTAATTTTTATTCCTTTTCCAATTATATTCTTACTACGCAAACATAACCACCAAATCATTAATAAAATTACAAGCAAAATTGTGACCCCAATAATCCATTCAACCATAAAATTGTAATGGCCAAATAATCCACGAGCTCGTGAATAAGATGATGGTGGTGGCGGTGGCGGTGGCAAGACTTGTGACGATATTATTGACGTCGAAGCCTCTAAAACCATTTTACCAAGAGTCCAGCTCACTGCTATATTATTAATGCTATTTATACTTTGGAAAGGTGATTTATGTCTAACTTTTTCTAATAAATTATTATTTTCAGGCAATCCACCCGAATCAATCATTCTCGGAACACCAATTCCCTCATGCAATATATTTACCAACCATGCTGATTTAAAACATTGCAGTTCCAATCTTGTTAAATCTATTGAAGGATTTGCCGTTTCACCTTTAAGATAATATGTTTCAACAATATTTTCCCAATTTCTAGCACAATAGTCGAGAGCTTTTTTTTCAAATTCTGGAAAATTCCACATCCCACCCAAACCATAAATGTCGTGAGATGAATACCAATATTCAGAAATTCCAATGAACTTATTAACCGAAAAATCTATTTTCGGTGTGTGAACACCATTAAATAAACAAGGATTGTCTAAACAGGGAGCGTATTTATTTAATAATGCATAAGTGTCTTTTAAACAAAGGTTGAAATCTCCTGTTCCTTGTAGAGTATAATATGGAGGGGGTAATGTCCTATCGGTAAGTAAAAGATCTACAGGCAAACAAGGATCTTTTAATAGAATGGTTGGTTGTTCTCTAGCAGTGTCAGGATTGACTATTTGTTCATGTGTAGAGGTATATTTTTTAATACGACTCTCTATGTATCTACGACGTGCTTCATTAGTTCCAAAGCCTAAAAATGTTGTGACAAATACATTATAGTCCATTCTATTTCCGTCCAAAGTATACAGCGTGACTTTAGTCAAATCATTAGCATGTTTTTCCGCTTCAATTTTATTTGGCTCAAACGCAATCTGTGTGCTAGCCCCACCCATGTCTAAAAATCCAAATGTAGATGTTTGATCCGAATTTTCTTTTCCGTCGGCAATAAGTGGTTTACCATCATCATTAACGAATCCATTCATCAAGTAATTTACAGCAATCCAACCGTATATTCCTTCCGTTTCGCCAGTTATGACTTGAACATGATCCGAACATTTATTAATTTTAAATCGATAATTAAATTGGATATAATCACAGGCATTTTGAAGTATGGCTTGTTGTTGAGATGGCAGCAATAGTCGCATTCCAGCAGTAGCCAGTAAATATATAGGCGTTTGATGGATTTCATTTGTAGGTATGACCTTGTCTGCGAATTGTAATAAAGGTTTTAGATGCAATGGTCCTACTTCAGTTGGTTCATTTGCAAATGAAGATATACCTGGATAATTAATGAATTATTGGATAAAGAAAAAAAAATATGTAGATATATACATATATATTAACATTGAAAAATTAACGTATAGCTTAGCTCTCTTTTTAGTATCTTTAACATTCAATTTCCATATTTTCAAATGTGTAAAAGCCGCAAAAATCATCTTTTATATTTGAAATGCATTATAATGTCATGCAAAGTGCAAATGAATGTAAAGAAATGTGTTTCATTTTTTAACAAGGTACCTGGTTCTACTTTAAGTTGCCAATTTACGCCATGCTCGTCAGCACGTTCAACTGTAGGCAATACATGAAGATCTTTCTCATCTTTGCCCTGTCTAACAATACTATGATCTTTCCAAGAATATATTTGAATCCTTGATCCTGAACTTCCTGCATCTATAACAATGCCAAATTTTCTATTTAAATACCAATGTGACATTGGTTTGTGATATAATTAAAATAAATATATAATAAATGTATAAATGGTTATAAATTCTATTAATGTACAATTTAAAGAATGTCTATATTTTTAAATTTTAGAAAATTCTTTTATTATTTTCATTGTTGGACAAAAAAATAGTCTATTAATATATTAATATTAATATATACTGCTCTGAAAAAATTGCTATTGGGGGCTTTGCTTATATCACTGCCATATACGGTAGTTAATTAAATCACAGATTTTCTAATTATTTATGTGGTTTTAGGGATCTCTCTGACCAAAATTGTATAATATCTATATTATAAGGATTGCAACTGGAGAGAAAATCAGACCATGTTTGCTTAGCACAATAATGAGATACAAAGACTTTGAAAATTTAATATAAAGATCAAAAACATACGTGTAACATAATTTTGAGGTATTGTTACTCAAAAAAAAATTATTATGTTCCTAACCACATTTTGCTAGAAACCATTCCCATTTATTATTATTATCAAAGTGGGATGCGTAAACATTATGTCACAAAGAAATTCCAGGGATCAAAATTTAGCAAATCACAGTGTACTAATGCTATATGGAAATCACCTATAATCATCAAGGTTATACTTATCCCTACGAACATAGTAATAGGGATAAGGGTATTAGTATTATAATAATAATAATAATAACCCTTTGAAAATCGCTCGCATCAGATGATAATAAATTGACTTTGCAAAATTATTACACTATTTACAATTACATTTCCACCTTATTTTTTTGGAACCAACAGCAATCAATAAAATTGAAGGTACTAATAATGCTTATCTAAGAAAAATTTCTTTGGTTCAATCTAAACGAGAAAGCAAGGAGTCAAATAACTTTTCCGTATATAGAAGTAGTGTTCAAAAGGATAAACTTCTTGTTAATAAAAGAACCAATCAAACAATTTAAGGTGTTTGTACATTATTATTTTGACCACCGTGACCAATACTTTCCCCCTCCTCATCAACATCTAAATCTCTTATTTCATGATTTTCATTGTATCTTTTGAAGATTTTCTACTATATATCAATAGCTAATCTATATTGCAAGATCATCAACTTTGCCATCCTGTTCACTTAATACTATTATTACTATCAGAGGATGAAGATAAGGGAAGCGAAGTTGAATTAACAATCAGATATGCATGTAAATTAATTAGCTCTTCATCAATAAGCCTACTGATTTAACATATGCGCTGATTTTGTTTGAACCCCAAAATCCAGTACGGTATGATCATAACGTTATGAATACTTTATACTAGCAAGAACCCATTGGTTTGACGGGTTGATGGATAGTAAATTAGTTTTTTTAGCGGAGCAAATAATTTTTTTTAGGGTAATTATCATTCTACCGACCAGTTTACACATTAAAAATACTCGTGTTTAACATCGAGACACAATAAGGTTTGAAAAAGGTCCAAAAAACCAAATCGGCTGATATGAGTTTCTTCAATTATTTTTATTTCTTCTCGAACGTGTGTTTCAAGTTTTTTTTTCGAGTCCATCATAATTGCAATCAATGAAAAAGTCAAGTCTTAGTAAATTAATTAATTGAAAGTTATCTGTTGTTAATAAAATTCCATTTGTTTATAAAAAAATTTAACGGTTGCTTGTTCCCGGTTAATTGCTTATACACTTTTAGAGTTGTCAGTTTTTGCCTTTCTCAAAAATACTGAATCAACTATAATGGTTATTAATAATTACAATAAAGGAAAAGAGGTTGAAGTAATTGATGAGGAATTATCAATGATGATTAATTTATCTTATATACTATGAATTTATTCATTATATATAAGAACCTGTCGAGTACATAGTAACTTTTTCTATAGAGGTTGTTCTTAGATAGAGGTATTTTTCTATAAGTTTAATAGTAATCATATCTAATATGGAGGTACAACTGTATATGAATTAACTTTTTTAACTTTTCATCTTTCATCTTGCTTATTTTATCCTTAAATTAAATTAGAAATAATAAATTTTCTTTTATTATTATTATTGTTAAAGCCACATTTATGATAACAATTCTTTGTTAACGCATTGATTATATTATTTCCGACAGATCAATAATGATAGTAATAGATAGTAATGGTAACATACGATGATCAAGATTATACTCCAAGAACTCTCTTCAGAATATAACATGTCATCACAGTTTATGCGGTATAAGATTTATATCACAAGCTGTTCACAATTTTTTTATTCACAACACAAATTCCATGTTATTTATTCAAACAATAATCATAATGAAGTTGATGATTTGATTCTTAAATGCTCTTTAGGAAAAATATATAATTTCATTTGAAATACATTAAAACATTATAAATATGTCTGAAAATGAACTTGTAGATGCATTCCTATGAAAAATACAGAAGAAAATCCTCCTTCATGACAAAAATAGTTGGCCCTGTTGACAATTCAACATTATTTTTTACATAAATGACATACGCCTTAATTTGTTTAATTGTATTTTTATTGGTGACGAAAATAAATTTATGACTGTTATTATGTGACTGGTGGTTCAGTATTACGCGATCATTAAAGGAACAACTACAACAAAGTAAGCGAATTTATTATCATTATTATTATCAAATAAATCTAGATTTAGAAAAGATGAATATTTCAAAAATAAAGTTTACACTTACATGTACATGACAACCCAAAATAAAGTTTTGATATCACCACAAGAATATATTCAGGTGTTGTTTGCAATTATATTTAAATCAGTTGGTTCAACTTGAGTTCTAAATGTAAAAATAGCAACATTCAGACTTTTTTTTTTTGTTTCATTAACTATATAAATAATATTTAACAAAGATAATAAATATACTTCTATTATTATCACAAGGAAAAAAAAATAATGTTAACTTTTGATTATTCGTTGGATACAATGTGATTCGAACAAACTTATTATTATTATTATTTGAATAGAAAAACGTAAATTTTATATATTTTAAATTCATAAAACTCTTGTAGTGCATTTAACAAGTTGAGTATCAAATTCGCGTTTTTGCGTAAAATGTTGCTCGCCCCAGCCGGACAAGAAAGCAGTGAGATCGAAACCGAACAATAATAATTATTCCAGATGGGGACGAGAGGGAACAGAACGAGGAGAAAAATGGGAGCAAAATGACTTTTCAAGCCGCGGGTCGAACTAATTTTGATGAGGAGGATCAAATGTTCTTTAAATATTAATTAAACTGTTGTTTGCTTCATTTTCTTGATAAACTTTCAAAACCGAGGCAACAGTCCTTTTTGCTGAGAATAACGATAAAGAATCTTTTGAATTTTTAGTAAAAAATGGAAGATGATAGCAATCATATAACTATAATTCAACTGTTACAGATATAATCACAAACGATAATCCACATAATGGTTGTAACATTGATGAAATAAATATAGAGAAGGTGAGTCGACAGTTAGATAGTTGATTGATCACAATATCAGAGCAATTCAACAAGATAAATATCTTAAATGTTCTAAAAGTGATTTATTGAAAAATCCAAACTTTAAATTATCTCCATCGATCATGGACTCGAAAGCGTGATCCAATATCTGAGATAGTTGCCGAAATACTAGTCCAATTGTTGAGCCATTTTTGAAATACGAGGTTCAAAGGCATCACAGAAAATTGATGCAAATATATATTATGGATAAAGAAACTCTAATACAGATTCTCTTTCGTGCACCTGCGATCATCAATCGTCAGGTTATGAAAAAGCTCAACAATTTCCAAAAACAATTATTAAATTAAATAAAAATACATTCACACTTTCATGTATAATATACATAATAGTATCATTGATAATATATAGTGAAAGTACAAAAAGAATCAAAATATTTTTCTAAAGAACTGAATTTTTCTCCAGTTTAAAGGTATATACACTCTAATACAAATAATAAACTATACAAGTAAACCAAGGAAATTCGTTG